TCCTCAGCAGGTAAGGACCATTCACAGGTGTACGTTTCCGGGCACAGGCGGGTAGTGGAGTGCGGGAAATGGCCCCGCTCTTGCCGGGAAATTTAGGAGCTAAGTTCTCTGGAATGTCATTTCCTAAATATAATACCTACTTTGGCCAAATTGGCCATTGTTACCTTTTCACAAGAAATTAAAACGACTGATTTCAATAGTGTCTTCAATGTTCTCTTTCCAAAATGCATGGCATATAAAAAGAAAAGCTGTGTATACTTAAGTAAGTCCATACATTCATTTATTTTCTTGTGGCATGTGATAATTGGATCAGGTCACATTTTACCGGTTACCTCCTGATAAGGAGAACACTGGTTACATTGCACTCATGAGTGTGCCACCTAAATTACAGCCTAATTTGTTTGTTAACTCTACCTATTCAAAACAATGGATTATATTGCACTCATGGGTGTGGTGCCTATTATAACGTACAGCCTATGTTTATTATTATCTCAAGAAAACACTCATACCTACTTCTGCCTTTCGAACGTCTGTGTTTAGTTTAGTCTGTTGACTACTTTCTTTCTCCTCCCACGTGCCTAGCTGCATATTTCTTGATTCAACCCAAGCCACCTTTATTACCCTTTTTATCTTTATCTTTTCCTCAAAGACTTAAAAGCAGGTTATTATTTTGACGGTTGAACCTGACTGTCAAGGGTAAGGTTGTACCAACACCAACAACAACTTACAACCTGACTTTATTTCAACATCTTTGTCACAAAATAAAACCAAAACACAACCCGTAAGTAACAAAGGCTATTCGTGGCAGGTTGTGTAGAAATAGACAAATAAAAATAATTAGGTATTTTCGTGAAAATAGAATGCAAAGAAAAAATGTGTTGTAAGAAAAGGGAAGATTAATTAGGTGAGACAATAGAGCTGATGAAAAGGGGAAAAGTTAAAGTAAAGGAAGAGAAGCCGATCGACCAGTTGAAGTTACAGTTGGAGTGTATTAGTCTCTGTAAATTCGACTGGGTTATTTTGTCAGAGTTCTTTTGTGAGTGTAGGACAATATTTATGAAAATAAGAAAATACCAAATCATCAAAATCTTTGTAGCTATATTTTTTAAATTTTAGGTTTCCTTGCTTTCTTTTTGATTTTCTGGCATTTCAAACTTTTATTAAAATATTTGTTTGTTTGTTTTGTTTTGTTTTTATCTATTTCCTGGTTTTTGAATTTTTTGTTGTGGTTGTTTTCTTAAAAAATTCTCATTTAATCACAAAAGTCGGTTAAAAATAGATTAAATATGGAGAAAAATAAATTTTAAATAGGTATTATTCAATCTTCTGTTTTCGTTCCGGGACAAGAATGGCATCTTAGCCAGGAGATAAATCTGTTTGCTCTTTTTTTCTGCGAAGATAAAGTATATAACGAAAGGAGATTGTTTGCTACCTAAATACGCGCAGTAGAAACTTTATCTTCAAGAACGACGAAGAGTTCCCCACGCTGATTAGATCCTTGTGTTTTAAACCGTTTGGTCCGAGAAAACAGCGTTATCAAGTAAGAGACACGTGAGGGAGCATGCGCACAATATACGTCGCCTCCACCGAAAACAAAACACCATTTACATGAGCAAGTTACGATTTGTGAAAAAAAAACAGCTGCTTGTGTATCTATGGTTATAGGACCATGTTGTTTTGCGAAGCTCGTGGAAACGTAAATAAATTATATTTAAAAAACCCGTCTCCTAACACCAGCGTCGACCACTCACTGACGTATTAGTGCAAATAGTTCTCGATACTACTGAAACGCTTTTAGATCAATTAAATTTCGTAGCGTATATACGATGTAATTTTTGAGTCAACTTACCAAAGGCTGTGTTTTTTACTCCAGTCCGTTTACGAGTTGAAACTTCCTTTTCCCTATCCAGGTCTACAAGTTGACGGTTGTTCATGAGGAAGAGGCGATGCTCGGAAGACACAGGTTTACAGATGTATGTGTATAGCTACGAGCAGATTTCTACAAGCTGCTCGTAGCTGCACACATACATCTGTCCCATCCTTAGTCAACGGAATCTTTGAAATGTTTTCTTTTTCCAAAAGTGAGGTTTTTAGTGATGTCATAGACAGTTAACCATGATAAATTTCTTTTGCGCGCGCAAAGTCTTAATACTCGCTCCAGTCTCTTCGCGGAAAATGATCTTTTTTCGCCCCAAATGTATTTTTCTCTTTGTTGTCTTTCTGCAATGACGCGAGACAGGAGCCCATCAGAGTACCTGCGCGAGAACGGTGACTGCCAATTTTTTTTGGTGTTTTTCATTCGTTATGACCACACGAAAAATATAAAAAAATTTGTATGCTGGAGGTTCCATTATTTCAGAAAATGACATGAAACTCGGCATATGAAATTGCAGCGGATTATAAGATAATGTTAAAACTTTCCACTTTTCTTACATTTTTCTAAGATCGGGCGACTTCAAGTTACGCAACTGAAAAATTATTGCCCAGAAAATGTAATTAAATGGGCCCTAAGTTTAAGTAAAATTCATAGTTTTTGCTATATAAATAGTAATAGCTGACACTACAGCTGTCCCCGTTCTGTATATTGTCGGTCAATAAAGTATTCTTGGTCGTTCTCTAGCTCCTTAAAATATACCGATTCATAATAAAGATTTTTACACATATTGCATGCAATAAGTGAGATAAAAACAGGTAACGCGAGGTTCCATGCATTTATTCAGTTCGATTTACACACAGCTTTAATCAAAACATTCTCAGTTTCGAGGAATACCTTGCTTTTTGGGAATGGAAGTGTAAGAGAGCGAACTCATAGAAGTTGACTGTTGTCTACTGTGGTGTAACTCATATATGTTAATGAAGGCGCAAAAAAATTCGTTGGATGAATCGAACATTTTTCAAGATAACGAAAATTGATTTCTGGTATTAATATGTACTTACCGATATCTTCTGCACAAGACACTCCACCGCACTATACAAAAAGCAGACAAGGGACTATAAGCTTGAAAACGATCTAAAAACCTTAAAAATTCAGAGCCAAATGAACCAGTTAATCAATTTTTCCGGATTTCTAGACGTGTATGGACAAAAGAAAGTCAGGTACTCTTAGCTCTTACCAAGTTTTGCTTATGAGGGCAGTGTTCTAGTTTATTTTTTAAGCAAGGGATCAAGTACACCGTCTAGTAAAAGATATTAGGGACCTTAAGATCCGGCGACGGCGACGGCGACGGCGACGGCGACGGCGACGGCAACGGCAACGGCAACGTCACAAAAGCAAATAGGTTTGATAACCCCAACAACAATTTTGCATGTGTATCACGCTTTTTCGTTATTTCTTTGCTGTCACTATACGACTGCGACGTGAAACAACCTACCGTAAAATTCCGAAAATAAGCCCCTTCATGTATAACCCCACCCCAAACCGGTAACGCAAAAAACCCTCCCTTAAATCGCCCCCCGGCTTGTACTTGGAAAATAACCCTCAAGTACAAAGTAAAACAAAGCAAAAACGGTAAATTTACTTCCAAATATAAGGCTAGCCCATTCGATTTAGAAACGCAAATTTTCCTCCGTAGATAAGCCCCTCCGAAAATAAGCCCCTCAAAAAGGGCCTTTGAAAAATATAAGGCCAGGGGCTTATTTTCGAAATTTTACGGTTTTTAATCCGGCCTGTTTTTAAAGCCTTGCATTATAACGACTGGCCGTCCTATCTTAAGCTAGACATTCATAATCCAACACGGACACTGAGGTCTTCAAAAGAAACGACGTTAAAAGTACCCCTTGAGTCGGGTGCTTTCCAGGACAGTGCCGCCCTCTAGTGTTTTCAATTCATTACCTGAGTCCGCTGCAAGGAACTCAAGTGAGGAAGTATCTGATAAATAGGGCAAATGTACGTTTGATTTCTTGATTTGTATGTATTCTAGATTACTCTTAGTAACTTTTGTCAGTAGCATTACTAATAATGTACATAACTAGAGCTTTTTATTAGTAGTAAAAATCCAGCTAGTGGTCCATTATCAATGCTGCGTTCTGATTGGTTGAGCTACTACTAGGCTATATGTTATAGCCCACTTGCAACGAAAAGCGCCGGCTTTTTGGCGGCAAAAAAGGCTTAAATCCTAGCTTTAACTAGCTAAAGTTGTTTTGTCGCGATATTTTTGACCAACAAGCTGGATTTTACTAAAACAATTATTCCCGTAGGCCTCATGGCCTCTGAGTCAATAGCCCATTTGGCCTTCGGCCTCATGGGCTATTAAATCAGAGCCCATTCGGGTTCGAGGAATAATTGTTAAATATTAATGTAAATTTTTAGAGATGAAGAGCCTCCTTGCAGTGGAAATACTGTAATAATAATAATAATAATATTATTATTATTATTATTATTATTATTATTAATATTGGTACCCCGTATGCTAATAAGCGAAATGTAAACAATGACTTGTCGACTAAAAGGGAACGTCTTTTAACTTTTTAACACGTGCAGGTGTTCAGTCCGCCGCAATTTTGTCTTAAAATAAAGATTCAGATTTTTTTAAACAAATATCGCCTTAAACGGTCTGTTCCGAGTTTTCTACAACGTCGTTCATCACTAATAAACCACAGAGAGGTGAGCCAAGTTGAAACTTGGATAGTTCTTAAGTTTATTTATTCTTGAAAATTAAACACGAATTCGTAATTCATAAAATGCTTAAAATAAATTAAAGAAAATAAAATTATAAAAATTATATAGCATGCTCTCTAAGTTTCTTCATGAAAGTAGGTGTCAAAATGCTCAGGGAATACAGAATATTGTATCTATTATTCTCAGGGTGAGTGGTTTCCTGCTTGCTGTTTTTTCCACATTGGTTCTGATTCAATCTTTTGAAGATAAGACTGTCGACAACACATGGTGCAGCGCCAGCTCCACCTCACACCCCAATCCAAATACGTACGTAGAGCTAAAACATGGTTCAATATGATAACTTTCTATAATGATTAAATTAGTATTAGTATGTGTTTCAGTCTCATTTATAAATCACTTGCCTCTGACTTTTGTTCATCCTTACAAAGTCTTGGGAGGCAAGACAAATTTTCGTATATATGAAATGAGTAACGATAAAACTGGGCATTACCGAGATAAAATTCATTTTTAGAAATGAAATTTGCATTAATGGTAAAGTCCTTTGTGATTCCTGCAAAATTGAAAGGAGGTCTAATGTCATCCAGCGTTTGTTCAAGAGATCTTGTATTATAGCTAAAGCTTTCTTATCTCCCCAAGAAAAACGTACTGCAAGAGTTTCCGGGGGAATATTTGTATCTACTTCAAGGAAATCTTCCACGATCAGCTTCGTGGTTGGAATGAGTGCCAATTTTTCCATCAAACATCCTCGTGTCGACTTTACAAATTCCATTACTTCATGGCTCCAGGCTGTGAAATTCATCAGTTGAAGTACAACAAAAAGGGTTGATTCCCTGTCTAAGAAGGAAAAAAAAAGAATGAATGATGAACCCGTCCTTCTTCCGATTTTCTGCTTTCGAATTTTTGTGTCACCTTTTGAAAGCTAGTATTTTTTCCGTGTTACTAGAGTCTAGTAATAGATTATGTACACCTTGAAGCTGAACGACGGTGTCGATACACAGATGCACTAGTTTGTTACACTTTCTCCTTACGCTCTATCAGCCTTATCATTTTTACTTCTCAAACTCATTAATAATTCATAAAGAAAATTCAAAGGAAATTAATGTTTAAGGAGTGTTTGGATATCAGATGAAAAACTGCTCATTTTTGCATCCTTAATTTCTCCTTCAAAAATGATTTTGTTTGAGAAGAAATATCAAACATTCGACACAGTGTTTCATCACCAGATGAAACACCTCGAAGTTCACTGCGCGTCGTATTTTCAAATCTCTTCTCGGTGTTTCATCTGGTGATGAAACACTGCATCTCATGTTTGTGGGTTTTACAAGGATTTAATAAGGTTGGGGGCTTATTTAATTTTTGGCGCACCAGGTCACAGGGGCTCGTTTGAAGGGTTGGCGTCGAGATGGATGTAGAGGGTAGTCAAGATAGTCGTGCTAAGGCGTCTTTATAATAGCCGACAGCGATGATACCTCGAGAATCACAGACTATGAGTTTAAAATGCTTAATTATCATTTAACGCATTCGACAGCAAGATAGTTATGATCAGAATTTCTTTCTTGACCTCAGAAATTTAGCCTGTGCCAGGGTCTCAGACTGTAGGGATGTCGCGAAGGAACTTCAGAAATAATCGGCGATTAAATTTTTTGAAGTAAGAATGCCTGAAACAAAAAGCTGATAGTGGGGCCGTTGGCCAATCTCTTTTTAAGTCGTCTAATGCCTTGCTCAGTTTCCATGAGTAAAATGTTAATGTAGTAAGTGATAAATACCCAGCGGGGTTACTTCGGTTAATATTTGCTGGGTTTGTGCCGCTGGCCTCTCAGAGCCCCTACCCCGTTAAAGTCTATTCTGCAGCCAACTATAGACCCTATCTGAGTCCCTTTTGGGAAAATTTAATTTTCGTGATTCCACCTTAGTAACTTTCTGTTTATGCATTTACCTTATAAAGCCTTTTAACTAGGTCATCCTGAAATGACCCATTTTTAGATCTGTACCTACCTGAATTTTCCTATCTCCCAAATCCCGAAAATGTGCGTTCCCATTCTAGTAACTCTAATAAAAATGCAACCACATTATAGTCAATCCTGCTGTGAAAATGCGATCCCACCCAGCGGCACATCCCCATTAGCCTCCTACTAGGAAGTACCCCCCCTAAGGGATAGATATGAGAAACGGTGGGGAAGGGAAGGAATGGTGTTGAGGAGTATGTTTCAAAATATGAACGACTGAAACCACTATTTCTTTTAAGAAGGAGACTCACAATATCCTCCTTCTACAAACCACCATCGTAATATTACATGTAATGACTGAGCTAGTAAATAAACGTAACAATTCAACAAACCTTCATCTTTCGCTTGGTGATTCCATTTGTCCATGACGGTTGAGACGGCCAGTAGGAATTTTTCTTTTTCTCTCTGATGATGTCTTTTTACTTCTTCCTCCTTCTGTTGTATCTCCTTCACGATTTTTTCTATTTCCAATTTTCTTTGCTCTCTTTCCTCTATCATCTTTTCGAGATTTTTCACCGCCGGTCCTCCCTCTTGAAACACGCTCCGTTCCTCTTCCGTAAGACGACGATCGGAAGAACTTTTCTTGGCACTTCTCTTGGCGCCGGTTCTGACGTTATAATCACCCCTTGGTATCTCTTCTTCGAGATGCTTTTTGAGAAATGCTTCCGTAGCCTTTGCCACTAAGTCAAGGTTGTCTTCCGTCTCCTTACTTTCCCTCAACGCTATCAGCTCCTCCGTTTGTCCTGCAACCTTCACTGTTAATTTAGTTATTTGGTTCTGTGAATTTAGAGCTAGGAAAAAACATCCAATTCTCTCAACATCAGGATAAGCGTCTTCAACAGCAGTCCAGTCAGAGTACTCGATCATTAATACTTCTACTTTACTGTAAACCTTTGAAGGACGTTCACTGGCGTTTTTCTTCATTTCTTTCAGGGGAAGAGAAAGGCGAAGTGCGCGCGATTTTACTTTCTCCAGCATTTCTGCGAGGTCATACAACTGGAACTCCCGAAAAACGTCTTTTAACAGCTTGACTGGAGTGTCAGGAAAGAATTCGGCTATATCATGCAGCATATAGGGGCGCAGTTTCTCACGATCAAGCCCAAAAGACTGATAAAATCGCTGCAGAGCATTGGGGTCCGCGAGAAGTCTGCATACTAGTTCTGCTATCACTGTCTTACTTAGATCTTTTAAACACAGATTGGAGACGGAATCTAGGAAGAAGAGAAAAATTAATGCTAAAAAATGCAAATAGGTATTTACCATATGTTAGAAACCATCAAAAACAAACGGCCTTCACTTCGAGTAAGTACGGTGGGGGGTTAGAATGAGATTGCAAAGTTAAGATATATATTTATATTGTTTTTCTTTAAACAGGCCATAATAAAAAGGAAGGTGCTGGGCACTAGGAAAGCTAAAGTGCTTAAGTTCTTAAGGAGACTTGAAGGCAAACTTTATCGACTGCCTCTAAATATGACATCAAGCCTCGTTTAATCGCTAGGGTAATGCATGCATATGCATTCAGTGTATATCTGAAATTACAACTCAAGAGTGCCAGTATACGCAACTTTTTAGTATGAGAATCCACAGTTATACTTACCGTTCTTAAAAGAATTTTAATTCTTTTTTTGCGCCTGCCGAAATTTACCTTTTCCCCCACGTCTTTTAGGGGAAAAAGGTAAAATCTCGGCAGGTGTAAAAAAACCCTAAAAATCTTCTAAAGCACAGTAAGAAAAATTGTTTATAATCAGGAAACCGTGCAAGATTACAAAATGTTTGGTTTTGTTGAGTCTTTGCGACTGATGTCTTACGAGGATATCTAATATGATGTTGTCCTTGAAATGCTCTAGGTCTAATCATGCGTTTTATTATCAAGTGTAGTGATTTTACCTCGAGTTTCTTCATCCGTTTCAAGCTCAGATGGTGCACCATGTGATTCCGCCATTCCACTGTCCCTTGTTGCGGTTGTTGTGCTATGTGAATCGATATCCTGCTTGTTTTGTTCTATATATCTCTGAACATTAATGTAGGTAAATTTTTCATCTCGCCTCTCCTTCCCTGTGCAACAGGACCTTTAAAATATTAAAGTGTGATGGCAAACGAAATGCAAATGAATGTAGGAACAAAAGAATTGTAATAAAGGAAAAATGAATCGGAAATGAGAATGGTGTAGGATTAGGAATGTTTTCTCGTTAAGCATCGCTAACCCTATCAACATGGGAACATGCATATGGTAAAGTGGCTGTTAAGATATCCTGTGGGTTTCAGTATCATTTAAGATTTCTTCAAATCGGCATTCTTGATCCCTACAGAATCAACGCTCTTCATTTATTCAACTATTGTTTTGTTTTTGTTTTTGACGTTACCATGTACCTTTCTCCCACATCCTGTGTATAAATTAAACACAACCCAAATTCCTCTGATTTGCCCCTGACGAAATGCTTAAGGCTGGTTGTCACTAGCGAGAGAGTCGGAGTCGTAATCAGAAGCGTAGAGCTTAAACAGCGTTCTGATTCCACGTATGATCTAGTGAAAACCAGATTGTCGGAGTCGTCGGAAGCAGAAGCGGAAGAACTAAACCAATCCCAAAGCTTGGGTACGTGCATTGTGATTGCTTTATCCCTCCGCTTCTGCTTACGACTCCGATTTTTTATTTTCACTAGGTCATAAACGCTCTTACGACTCCGCTTACGACTCCGTCGCTGTAGTGAAATCCAGCCTTAACCCTCGAAACGTCAGTTTTTCAATCTCGTTAGGATGCCCAGTCTACTACGTTTACCTAATCAATAATACCAATCTCTTACATTTCTCGTCTTTCGAAACCAACGCCTTAGTCCTTTAGTGACTCCCCTTAATTCTGACCAATAATCCTACATCCGTTTTGCCACAGTACCTGCAGGAAAAATGTAAGGGGGTTTACCAACTGCTACAAATATCTTATTCACCTGGAGCTTCATTGATTAATTCTGTCCGCGCTTTCTAATATTCTAGTTGGTCGATGGTCACTATGACTTCCACTTGCTCTCCGCCAACAATTTCTCTCATTTCGTCAGTGACAAAATGTGCGAACAAAACAGAAACAACAAACGAACGGAAATAGAGTGATTTGATTGGTTTATCCAAAGGATACAAACGCGCGTTGCTTTTAGTTAGACCCTGTTTACATGGAGAGGGGCACCCCGGTCTAGTGGGGTAGGTTTCTTTTGTTTTGTGTCCCCCAGAGCGTGAAAACAAAAGAAACCAACCCCACTAGACCGGGGTCCCCCACTCCATGTAAACAGGCCCTTAGTTAAGCGAACACTCGGGTGTAAAAACTTCATGCCGGAGAACTTTCGAGGAATCAACCGCTACTTCGCTTCCACTTCATACTGCAACATGATCGACCAATCGAACAATGCCTTCTCCATATTGGCCGGAGAACAAAAAGGCCATGTTTCGATCTTTTCATCCATTGGCTGATAAAACAAATAACGGACACTTACCGAAACCATTTTTCAAGGTCATACGAAAATCGCTCTGTCTCTTCCCATTTGCACACTCTTTGACGACAAAGGTACCTGCAGGCAACTTTTCTTGTTCCCAGATCTGTATCCGATTCCACCCTCCCATCCCTTTTATAATCTGCAATGCACTAGAAGGGGTCACAAATAAGATGGCCTGAAAATGGTTAATCATGAATCAAACAATGTCTCAAAAGATGTTAGTTCCTTCCTGCCGCCATATTTTTGGCGACAAAAAGGAAAAGTGAGTGGCAGGGACAATGGAAATAGGATTTGAGGGACACCAAAAAAGTGGAGACTAGTTAAGGTGCGGCGCTTACAAATAGGTAGATATAAAGATACCTTTTCAAGTCATAAAACTTAATATTTACTATTTCAACTTTAAATCAAACATACGACGCGCTTCACTGACTTTCATTTCCAAGGCAAAGTCAGCGCTTCAAGTACTAAAATTAAAATGGGTTTACTTATTTGATAATGTTCGTGGCAAAAGATAATGTTTTACAAGTTTTCCAGCCATTAAAATTCTTAACGCTGGTTTACTAACTTGTTTGGCTCTATACAGTGGTAAGAAGATCTACGATATAAGATCATTGAATGAGGGAAACACAACGCACAACAAAACTCGACAGCAACCTTTTTTCTGCTAGATCTATTTTTTTTTTGACGTTCGCACCGGATGTCACTGGTCCTGAAGAAGATTATTTTTACTAGTTGAAATATATTCCTTATTAAAAAATACTCTTTTTGCGTAGATCATCCTTAATCAAAATAGGTTTTATCCAAAAGAACATTTTCTCTTCACATTGATAATCGACGAACACGCTCGTCAACTTTTTTCACCAGCGTCTCTGGATTTAAAACTTTCCAAATAACTTTGTTTAGGCTTTAACCGTCTATTAGTTTATTTGATAGTGAAAAATAACTTGTAGTTAGCTAATTTGGGGTAATAATTCGAGTCAAATGTGGTTTTGGAATGGGGGGAAAATTTTAGCCTCGTTTTCATGTCCAGAAATAAGGTTATTTTTTCAAGGTCAGATTTTGTGATTAAAAACTCAAAATCAACCTTAGTAAACAAATTTTTCGTGTTCAGCACATAATTTCATCTAGAAAAAAGTATTTACCAACTTTTCCTCGAGTTTGCCGACAGAAGTTTTATAAGCGACTTTTTACCAAAAGTTGTCCCAGTCTATACAGTGTTTTCACTCACGTGGCCAGCATCTATGCAAATTTATTGGAACAAAAGAAAGCGTTTGCATAAGAAAAGAGTTCAATTCCCAAAGGATATGGTTTTGGGACACCAACATGGCCGCCGTTTCATTGTTTTGGGACACCAATATGGCCGCCGTGACGTCATGTGAAAACACTCTAGATCATTCAAATTGAATATTGAATTACACTAGTATAACCTCCACCACTAGACAAATATTCTCAGAATGTGTCCTTTCGCAAAACGTCTGTTGGCAAATGTTTGTTCGATTTTCCACGTATGTTTCGCTATAGCATCTTTCAAAATCCTGAAATTAAAGGTGGGGTAGTAAGTCGATCTTCCCTCCCTTGGCTAGGGACGATCAGCGTAGTATATATTTCGCAATTCTTACCTACGATCAGTTTCTCGCCAACTGACGATAGAAGGTAGGCTTTTGTACATTATGCTTTTGCTTCCCTACTAAAATGCTCCACCTTAATGCTCCATTTTTCCCACTAAAATGCTCGGTGTCCCCAAAAAAGTCACTAAAATGCTCGGATAATGCTCATTATACAAACGGTTTTTTAAGATTAATTTCAAAGTTTACACTTACAAAAACATGCAAGTGTTGCAAGTAACAACGACAACGTGTACAAGTTCATAAATACAGCCAAAAAAACCAGCTGTATTGGGTTTTTTGTGAATTTTGAATTTTAGTCTTCATTTTGTTTAAAAAAGCAGGAGCTCATGGGGCATGGGCTCCTGAAAAAAGTTAATTTCTATTTTATTTTCTTGGAAAAATTAATTTTCCGGGAAAAATGCTACTAAAATGCTCGAATAATGCTCAATGCTTTTGCCTCACTAAAATGCTCGAAAAAATGCTAGCATAATGTACAAAAGCCTATAGTAAGGTAGCAGCTTGCGCTAAAACATTAAAGTCAGAAATATGCAATTCTAAACATTTTTAGAAATGATGATCATAGATATAATGCAAACACACATGAAAAAGGGTAGGCAACAAATTTGACGAAACGAAACATCTACACTGTCAGTGAATACCTTTTCGCATTTCAAACTTCAGTTCACGACTTAGTCGTTGCTCGAACTCCTCCACTTCCTTAAGCCCAAATTTTGGGCAACTCAGATTTTTTGGGTAGCACGAGAAAATTTGGGCAAAGCCAGATTTCAAAGACGTCTCCATGTTTTTATTATTATTTTGATGAGATAAATATTTTATATTTTAACCTGAAGTCGGCGCAATATTCCAGTTACATCGACATGAGACAGTGTCTACCTAGCACGTGACGAATTTCTGGTTATAAAGGAAGGTATCATATGCTGATTTTTTTTTTATTGTTGGGCACTGTACTGCAATGGGCTATTTCCAGTCGTGAATTGATTAGAATAAACTTCCGTCTAACTTTCTAGAATCATCTCCGCTCGTAGAACACTGTATGGCAGATAGCATCAGCAATGGGTCTTAAAGTGAAGAAGCGGCTGACTAATTCTCAGTTTGAATTGCGAGAAGAATCTTGATT